GAAGAAAAAAAGGATGGCCAATCAGCTCAAGCCCTGTTTACACTAAATGCCTCAGCTTTCTTTTGTAAAGAAGCCCATTCCTCCTTCCAGTCTCATCCAGTGTCAACCACCTTTACCTTGTCATCAATGGTGTCAAATTTGGTAAGAACAATACCATCGATGAGCCGAGGTGTTTGAGCCATAGAATGGTCAGCCAAGGCTCTGTTGAACTTGACCTGAAAAGGGAAAAAGTAACATAAGGACCCATATTAATTTGCCAAAGTTTAAGTTGTGAAGGGAACTAGGCCCAAGCCCTCACCAGCTGATCCACGGCTTCATTGCCTACTAAGGCCTCCCCCACAAACAGCACCAAGTCAGGTGTATTGACAGTAATGAGTTTGGCCAGGGCAGTCATCAGGGGGGCATTGTCTTGCATGCGGCCAGCTGTGTCCACCAGCACCACATCAAATCCTTGGTTACGTGCTAGAGAGAGAAAAAACAATCAACTCCAAGCACACAACTGTCACTCATACTAGCAGCCAACTTGTGGAGATTTCCTACTCTGGCTATGTGAAAAGCCACTCAACTGTCACTCATTCTCACTGCCAGCTTCTTGAGATGTCCCAGTCTAGCTATTTGAAAAGCCTATCCTGTTTACTTACTTGGACTCTGGATTTAGTTACAAGGTAATGTAATAAAAAACTTGTCCTATTCTTGGCCACACCAAAACCGTGCAGGGAAAGGACATAAGTAGGATAAAGGTGACCACATTCAGGTCTATGGTTAAGATACACTAGCTTTTTTTCCCTTCAACTATACACATTACCACCCAAAAACATCACCCACACAAGTAACTTACCCTGACTTCTCTGGTAACCTTGTAGTAAAAGTTTTATAGTAGCCTAAGTCTGCAAATTCCCAGGGAATACAAAAAAGACACTATAAGACCCCTGGGTCCCCCCACACTGTACCAAAAGCAATGGCTTCCATGGCAATGCCAGCAGCGTCCTTGCCATAGCCTTTTTCAAACAACTGCACCATCGTACGACCACCATGCTTCTCAGGGGGATGGAGGGCAGTCAGACGCCGGGTGTGTGTACGAAGCTGCTCAACAGCCCCAGCCCGAAATGTATCACAGGCAGCAATGAGGACACTGAAGCCATTCTCTAAGAGCCAGAAGGAAATCTGCAAAATAGTTAAGAACACTGTCACTCTAAAGCACAGGGTGAAAAGGTAAAAGCAGCAGGCTGGGGAGCTGAACTCACCTTGGCAAGATTAGTAGACTTCCCCACTCCATTAACACCACAGAAGGTGACAACATAAGGGCGCTGGCGACGTTGGGCATCCATGATATCCCGGAGCATGTCTACGCGACGCTGTGGCTGCAGAATCTGTACCAGAGACTCCTGCAGAGCTTGCTTGACTGTGGAAGTCACGGCTTAAAAGGGTGATGAAGGGATTCAGTCAGAAAACCAAGTATCATACTTGATACCCAACATCTTTCTATCTAAAAGATTTAAGACCATGTAGTTTTTCCCATGAATTCAGATCATACTGTTCTAAGTACTTGATTAGCTCATTTAACTGATCTATTAAGTTCTAAAGGCTGTTAGGGCAATTTAGAAATGAAGGTGTTTGCCAAAAGGCACATACCCAAGAGGTCTGACTATCACCTCTGAAATGCATGTGCACTTTATGACGTGTGCAGATACTTACTGCTGAACGTCCCCATCACTTTCCCTTCCAGCTTGTTGGCAACAGATTCACAGAGCTGGACAGCAATATCTGCAGCCACATTCTTAGCTGAGAAGAGAGGGACAGCTGTGAGTTTTGTGTTAGCAATGATCAACTCTCAGAGTACAGCTTAGAAAATGGTTCTACCCATAATCAACTCTATGCCACATAAGTCAGCCCAGTCCTCCAAACTCACCAATGAGATGATCACGCATCTTGTCTAGCACAGACTCCATGTCTTCGCGACTTAAGCTCTTGGAACCCACAAGGCCCTTCAGCATCCCAAACATGCCACCCAGAGTTCCCTTGGTAGCACTACAAGCACAGAAGGTCAGAAACACACATAAGGTCCACAGACAGAAGTATGGCTCATCAATACTGCAGCCATCCAGCGCACCTCCCACCTGAAATCCTTCTACCTAGGTTTGGTGTTTTGAGTGGCCCCTTCATCATCTGAGCTGCTGCAATCCAGATCTTGAAGCTGCCCCCCAGGCCCAGTTCCTCGAATCTGGAGGACATGGGAAGGAGATGGGATCAGGAACACTAGCAGCTGAGGGAAAAAATCCTATACCCTGTCAACATTGCCTGAGACCTTGAAGAAACTCCAAATATAGTTCGCTCCTCTCAAATCCAGGTGTACCTTCCAACTCTTTCTGGTTAACGGTGACCTTTGCTCTGATCTTTATGCTTCTTACCAAGTTGATATCTTCTGACAGGGTAGCCTCTGGGGTTCCATTGGTGGTGGGAGCACTGTAATCCAAGACTTCCTTGTTAGCACAGCCACCTAGTTCCCACACCCGGGGTGCTTTCTTGCCCTTCTCCTTTGGAATCTCTGACTTTGTAGACTTGCTGCAAAGGACCATATGAGAAAGAGTTATGGTAGAAAAGTAGAAAAGAACATAAGACAAGGCAGTTCCCTGACCTCTAACACAGCTGGGTAAGTCACCAGAGAGACTGACTAACCAAGTGCTCACCTGGATTTGTCCAGACCCTTCCCATGCTTCTGAATGAACTCCTCTCTCTTCCTGCGTATCAGCTCCTCTTTGGAAAGTTCTCCATTCTCAGGTCCCACTGGGAGACCTGACTTTTCTGCAGGGGCTGTTTTGCTGGCAGCCAAAGGGCCATCAGAACCTGTTAAGAGAAACCTCACTGGAGAAAAGGAGAAAAAAAAAACAAAAACAAAACACAAGCCCCAAACACCCAGATGATGACAATCCTTCCAAATCCTTAAGAGCAAACTTGGACCAAACACCTTGGTGACCACAAGGGGACAAGGGGATGACAGGGCGGTGAGCATTTACACTGAGGGAAGCAAGCAATGACAAAAGGAACACCGCAGACCTTTAGCACCATCCTAACCTCCGTGGCCTAGCATGTTCATGCTCAAACACACCTTCCTTTTTGGCCCCCTTTTTTTTGTTGTTTTTTGCTTTTTCCTTGGTCTTTTCCCCCCGTGTTTCAATCATGGACCTCACAGGTTTCTTAGCTTTTTCAGAATCTTCAAATTTCTTCATGGTAGTGGGAGCACGGATCTTACTGCTCTCCTCTGCTTCACTAAAGAGAAAAGAGAATGGTTGGTCTTTCTACCCACATACGAGGGGGAAAAAAACCCCAAAAACCTGACTCCAGAAAAAGGTCTCACATATCAAAGGGATAATCAGAGATGAGCTACAAAATGTGACTGCTATGAACCCATAAGTTAATATTGTTGAGCCACCTGCAGGCAGGGCACTTATCAAACCACAAACATTGATTTTAAAGAGTTGGGAAGCCTCTCACCGAAGAAGCCGCAGGAAGTCATTCTGGAAATCAAAAGTGCCATTCAGTAGACTTAAAGCACTTTGTTGTTGGATCTCTGTGCGGTATTTATCCCGAAACAGCCGATGTACATCATCTATCAATTTGTCTACATAGGTCAGTGTGAGGATCTTCTGAAAGCCAACCTGTTTATGGAAGGAAAGAGGGCCAACAGATCTCCTTACATGTCAGCCCAGAATGGAGGGAGGCCAACTCAACCCAGGCCTCCAGGGATAGGTTTCCTGTCCTGAGAGGTAGCCAAGCTTCCCACCTTGCCCAGAAGTTGCTTTCTTTCTCCCCTCCACATTCCAAATTTTTAATCTATTTATCACATATACAATACAGTTAATTGGGTTCATCAATGGGGATTCTGTTGAGAACATAACTTTTCTTTCTAGAACACCCTCCACTTACCACAAACACCAGCTCAAATTGGTTGTCCAGTTTATACTTGAGTGTGAGGGCCTCATGAGTGAAAGAGTTGTTACCTCCCCGTTCCTGGAAAAAGAGTGTTTCAGTGTTCAGGCTATCCATAGCAAAACCAGACTTTGAACTACGTTCGGGCAATAACCAGGTATTATCCTGGCCTCAGTAAGGGAGTACTGAGACAATTTCTCTCTAGTACCCCACCACGGGAGGAGACACCAAGTTGAGGCAAAGGGTAAAGTTGGGAGAGAGGGCATGACACGTGGGAGCCAGAAGATAAACAATCATACACAAACAAGCAGATCTTCCAGCAGCTGTGAGCCATTTAATGTTCCTAAAAGGTGTTCTCTCATCCACAGTCTCACCCAGCCTCAAAACAACAGAAAACCAAGCTGCCCCGGTTGGATGGAGAGAGTAATAAAGTCCCATCAGAAGCCGGAATACGGATACAGTCCCAGATATGGGAGGTGTGGGGGGGCTTCGTAAAGTTTCGGGATATACTGTGATGCCAGGCAAGGAAGTTGAGTCTAGGTGGCCAGTAAGTGGTCAGTTTGAGGAGGGCAGGGCGGAAGGCGCAGGATGATTACTGGAAGGGGGAACTAAAGACTGGCTCTGAGGGACAGCCCAGAGTTTTGCCCCGCGGGGGTGGTACCTGCAGCAGCACGGAACGAATCAACGCGTTCACGGGCCCGGTGCACGAGTCGCTCACGCCCTGGAAACACCAGAGCACAAGCCCGCCCTTCGAGAAGATGGTGAAGAAGTCGAGCATGACGGAAGCGGGAGAAGACTTGGGGCCGAAGCCGGCGCCGGGAACTCGGGCCGCGTCCGCCGCCGCTTCCTGCTGCGCCAAGCGCGGGACACGTCACACCAGCAGCCCCCGGAAACCGGCTCAGCCGCACTTCCGCTACGAGCCGCCGGGGTCCCGCCCCCTCCCCGCCCAGGGCGCGCGGGACTGACGTTAAAGCAAAGCTGACCAATAGTAGGTGTGGGCGGGGCTCCCGGGAAGCTGGCTCCCTATAGCGTTGGAGGGGTGGGGCCTGAAGGGCACTGCGGGCTAATCGGCACATTCGCGTCAATGCCCGGTGGCGCGGAGCGATGACTAGAGGGCCGGGAGTGGGGCTGAGCGGCACTTCAAGCTGGAAGAAGCCGGGCTCTGTAAGGCCATGCTTCGCAGATTGCTGCGTCTTGGCTTGGGCCCGGGCCTCCCAAACCGGGGGCTACGCACACGCAGAGGAGGCTTTACTCTGGGTAAAGCTGAGGGCAGCAGAGAGTATATTATACAGCGTGATTCTGGGGTACCCATAACCTCCACATATGTGACCTTCAAGGTTTGACACCCTGCCTCATGCTGGCGGGACAGCGAGTTAGCTGGGGAATGGGGTAGGCTTGCCCGCTAAAGATTAAAGAGCCAAGGCAGGTATATGGATCTCAAGGAGGCACTTTCCAGAGGACAATTCCATATAAATGGAAGCTTGCTGGTGGTAATGGATATTAAGGATAAGGGACCATATAAAGTTGACCAGCTTTAGAAGGCTGTGTGGTAATGCAGTATACTAGGAACTCATGTTTCCTGGGCCTGGGATACCTGAGTGGGCTGACTGTGCAGTTGAATATCTGAGAATGGATTCAGGAGGGTGAGGTCTCCAAGAGCTAAATATGTGAGTCATCTAGCATGTCCAGGGAAGTAGAAAGTGTAATTTTAGGAAATCAATCTTTCAGTGCTAGAGGAGGTGCATAATAGTGGGGACTGATGGGGCAAAGACCGATCAGCAAAGTTGTTACAGTACTGCTGCATGTGAGTTGATCTTGTGAGGAAGGATGACATTGGAGATATGCCAACCCACATGTCTATTTAGGCCACCTTTTTCTGTGCCCATCCTCCAACCCCACAGCACGTGGGAAGGAAACCTAAGTCCCTCTAACAGTAACAATGTCCTGCAGACTGGGATGCAAAGCTGTCTGAGTTTAAGAAGAAGATTGAGTGCATCCTGCCTGGAAAGCAATGGGAATTGCTGTACGACACCAGCCACCTGCCCCCAAAACAGTCGGATGTGGTCATCGTAGGAGGTGGGATCCTTGGTCTGTCTGTGGCCTTTTGGCTGAAGAAGCTGGAAAGTAGACGAGGTGCCATCCGGGTGCTGGTGGTGGAACAAGACCACACGGTGAGGTCAGGGAGTAGGGTAGTCATCTTATCAAGGACACAACCTGTAGAAGTTCAAAGGGCAGGGATTGTGCTTTAGACCTTGAGAAATAGTCCCAGGTTCTTCCTCCAAGAAGACCCTTGGCAATAAGATTGTTTTGTTGAGGGAGGGGAGGAGGTCTTGTCACAGTTGTTTAATCTCTTTGGAGGCAGGGTCTCAATATATAGACTAGGCCAGTCTTGAACTCCACATCCTCCTGTTTCAGCCTCTTAAGTGCTGGGATTACAAGTGCACTCCTGCACATTTGCCTAGACTTTTGCTTGTAAAAGCAGATTCTACAGTGATTGTACTTCAGTATGTGAAGGTCTGTCCAAGATAGCTTGTACTTGGGCTACTTATTAGTGCAAACAGCTTCCTCTGCCGCCTTTTAGGCTCTATTGTTTCTGAAGTCTTAGTTGTTCTTGTTTGTGATTGGCTGTTAGCTGCAAATCTCATGTCTGTCTTCATTATAGCCTTCCAGTTTTGTAAACTGTTTTGTAAACTTGTTCCAAAGTTAACCTCCTACCCTTGGACTTCCAGGCCATTACTATTTGGTCTGTTATGTCCAGCCCTGTAAGACAATTGACTTCTGCTCAGTTCATGTGTCATTGATGATTTAGATGATTTAAAACACTGTGTTTATCTTTGAGCTGTGAGTTGGTTGACTTGCATACAGGTTTACACTTACTTGCTCCTTGAGAAAGGATTCCCCTTTAAGTTTAGGTGTGTAACTGAGAGCTTCCATTGCAGGATTCCATTACATATGACATCATGACAGTCTACCTCAGTTTTTCTTTTCACAGTATTCACGGGCTTCCTCCACAGGGCCTTCTGTGGGCGGGATTTGGCAGCAGTTTTCTGTGCCTGAGAATGTCCAACTCTCCCTCTTTTCAATCAACTTTCTACGGAACATAAATGTATGTACCATGAGATTTGAGGGGTTGGGGTAGGGAGCCCTTCTTTAGCATAAAGAACAGAAGCCTAGCTGGCAAGGGGAACCAAGGAGAAATAGTGTTAGAGGCAGCAAGACATTGTGATCCTTGACAGTCTTCCAGTGTTGGTGCCTAGAGAAGGGTTTGTCCTGATCTGGGGCATTGACCCCGAGAGCTATAGTGAGAAGGTCAGGAGGCTCCCCTTTATGCCAGCCTCCTTGGAGAAGAGCTTTTCTTTGTACACAGGAATACCTGGCTGTAGTGGATGCCCCTCTTGTGGACCTCCAGTTCAACCCCTCAGGCTGTCTCTTGCTAGCTTCAGAAAAGGATGCTGCCACCTTGGAAAACAATGTGAAAATGCAAAGGTGGGTATGTAGCACTGCCCTGAGCTGCTTGGCTTTGCATACTTGATGAGCTCCTGTGCCAAGCTAGAAATGGGGAAGCTGAAGGTGATGTCACAGGAGCCTCCTCTCTACTAGCTCATATTATCAGGAAAGATGGACCTATTCAGACCTTCAAGGCCCATGAGGAGTGCTATAACCCAGTTATGAACAGAATGTGGTTCCTACATTTACTAGATCAAAACATACATCCCAAACCTAACAAACCAGAATCTCTAAGGAGTGGCCTGGGGACTGGGCTTCTAACAAGAATCCTAATTTAGGGGTCAGCAAAATTCTTTTTATAAAGGTCAGACAGTAAATATTTTAGGTTTTGCTTGTCATTTTGTCTATGTTACAACCTGTCTGCTCTGCCATTATAGCACAAAAGCAGCCACAGACAAAAAAAATATATAAATAATTGAGTGTGGTCCATATATAAAAGTAAGCAGCAGGTTGACTTCAGCATGTGAGCCCCACATCGGTTAAGGATTGGGCATCTTTGTGATACGTTATGTATAGGCTCTCTTTTGATATGCTATAAATCTCACTAGTGACAACAGATAAATGTTTGCAGGCGCTAACTCATTTAATCAGAACATCCCATTTTACATGTGGGGAAACCGAGGCAAGAAGATCTAGTAAAGCTGGCACTGTGATTCAGTTTAAAATAGACACTAGCTCATAGGAGTGTTTCTTAGCACTTTCATTCCCCAGCCAGTAAGTGTTCCAGAGGAGACACTCATTCTGAGGGACAGGGTTGTACTAAGCAGTAGAGAAGAAGGTATTTACAGGAGTTGATGGAACATGGTTCCTCACCATGTTGTGAAAGGAGATGGAGTAGGCTGGGGCAAGAAGAAGTTGAGAATTCTGAAGGGAGACAGGAGTGTAGAGAAGGAAAGATAAGCTGTCACATTCAGCAGTCAGGAGAAATGGGGCCATTTGGGGTAGAGAGGGCTATCAGTGAGCTGGACTTCCACCTCATGGAGTCGGGGTCCATGTTCCCCCCCTATGAATACTCTCCCTAACACAGTAACTGAGATGCACACATTTCTCTTAGGCAGGAAGGAGCCAAAGTCTGTCTGATGTCTCCTGAGCAGCTACAGAACAAGTTTCCCTGGATAAACATAGAAGGAGTGGCTGTGGCCTCTTATGGTGAGGTTCACCTGCAGAGCACATGGCTTTCTTTCCATGAAGATGGGGAATGAAGAGCTCCTGGGGTTGGAAGTTTCAGTGTGCCTTCTCCACACTGAAGGAGGACCACTTTACTCCTGAGTAACATAGCCTGCCCCAGACCATGCTACTTTTCTAGCCTTCAGCATGACTAGACTCCAGTACAGTTGGTCAAGATGACCTTCCCTGCTTCTAAAGCCCTAAAAAAGTGTGTTGGGTATACAGTAGGAAAAGGAGGGTTCCAGTGCTTCATGAGTTTTCTTTGTCCTTATGTCAGGGATGGAGGATGAAGGTTGGTTTGATGCCCGGTCTTTGCTCCAGGGTCTTCGTCGAAAGGTCCAATCAATGGGAGTCTTACTCTGCCAGGGAGAGGTGACACGTGAGTCCAAAGTCTCATTCCTTCAGCTTATGTCTTGCAGCCAGGACGAGGCCTAGACCAGGCTCTGCCTTTTGGCTCACAGGCTCACAGGATTGATGTAAGGGGCTGTCTTCTGTGAGAGGGCTACTACTAAACTGCTTTCTCCTCGCTACACTGCCCTGTTCTTGTGTGGCCACGTTCATTCAGGTTTCTTGATGTCTGTTCACTTGAGTGTCTGTGGGAAAGCACTTATCCTTCTCATCTTCTTTCCTTGAGAAACCAGTGTTCGTCATGGAGCTAGGAATGTAGCTGTTAGTGGGATGCTTGGCTAGCATGCGTGAAGCACTGTGATCCATCTCCCTCGGTTCTATCCCCGGCATCATAGAAACCAGGCACAGTCATACATTCCTGTAATCTCAGAACTCTGGAGGTGCAGGCAGGAGAATCAGAAGTTTAGTGTTATCCTCCACTACATAGCAAGTCTGAGGCCAGTCTGTGATACGTGAGACCCTTTCTCAAAAGAAACCAGTGTGATTCCCCCATTTCCCTCAAGGGCTTTGTGTGTGTGTACATGTGTCTTATTTACTGTTCTACTGCTTTGAAGAAACACCATGACCAAGGCAACTCTTATAAAAGAAAGAATTTAATTAAGGGCTTGCTTATAGCTTCATTATCAACATGGTGGGGAGCATGGCAACAGGCAGGCAGGCATGGTGCTGGAGAAGTAGCTGAGAGCTATATCCTGATCCACAGGCAGCAGGCAGAAAGAGAGAGAGAGAGAGAGAGAGAGAGAGAGAGAGAGAGAGAGAGAGAGAGAGAGAGAGAGAGAGACACTGGGCCAGTGTGGGCTTTTGAAACTTCAATGCCTATCCTTGGTGACACACCTCCTCTAACAAGGTCACACCTCCGAATCCTTCCCAAACAGTTCATCAACTGAGACTAAGTATGCAAATATATAGCCTATGGGGACCATTCTCATCAAACCCCCACTGTGTGTGTGTGTTGATGGGAGCACTGGGGATAGAATCCAGGGTCTCATGCATGCTAAATATATGCTCTACCACTGAGCTAACCTTTCCTGGAGGGCTTATTTTTATTTTCTTTCCTGCAGGTTTTATCACTTCATCTAGCCAAGCAGAGACCTCAAGTGGGGAACCGGTAGTCTTGAGAAGAATTCACAAAGTCCATGTGAGTCCCAAGTTCCATTGTGCTATTTACTACAGTAGAGGGGCAAGAAGGGTGATAATCTGCCCAGATGTAGGTCTTCTGTCTGCTTCCCAGTTATAACACAAATCCTAAATGGTCTTACAATAAAAACCCAGAGCCAAATATTGGGATAAATGCTGAAAGATCAGAGAGACAAAGGAACAACCCACTGCCACGTGTCACCTCGCCAACTCCACGAATCCTCTGACTCAAAGCCTCTGAGTCCTTAGCCGGAAGGCTTCCAGCAGAAAAAGGGCTTCAGCCAAAAAGGCTCCTCAGCTGAAAAGCTTTAGTTCCTGTCTCCTTACACCTTTTATGCCTTTCTCTGCCCAGCCATATTACTTCTTTCCTAGTGCTGGGATTAAAGGCATGTGTGCTTCCCAAATACTGGTAGCAGAGGCATGAGATCTCAAGTGTTGGGATTAAAGGCATGTGACTCCCAAGTACTGGGATTAAAGGTGTGTGCCACCACTGCCTGGCTCTGTTTCTCTCCTAGACTGAGTCAGTCTCACGTAGTCCAGGGTGGCTTTGAACTCACACAGATCCAAATGGATCTCTGCCTCCTGAGTGCTAGGATTAAAGGTGTGTGCTACCACTGCCTGGCATCTATGTTCTGTTCTCTAATCTTCAGGCAAATTTTATTAGGGTACACAATATGTCACCACACCAGTACTGATAAAGTTAGGCTCAGGAGGAAATAAACATCTCAAGAGTCTATTAGGTTGTGTCATCTGTCATGCCCCCACCACACACACAAACACATGCCCCAGCTTCCTTCCTCTTACCCTCTGTTGCCTATAGGTAAGAATGGACAAGAGCCTGGAGTATCAGCCAGTGGAATGTGCTGTCGTGGTCAATGCCGCAGGAGCCTGGTCTGGGAAAATTGCAGAGCTGGCTGGTATTGGGAAGGGACTGCCTGGTACCCTGCAGGGCACCAAGCTACCTGTGGAGCCAAGGAAAAGGTAGCTACCCTCAGGGCAGCTAAGGAGGATGAGAAAGAAATGATATAAAAGTTTAGGATGTGTTTGTTTGTGTATGTGTGTGGTGTGTGTGTAGTCTGGACAGAGGGTTGGTGTTAGTTCTGCAATGTCTTAACTCCCCTGATCATGACAGGTATGTGCACTTATGGCACTGCCCCCAGGGACCAGGTCTGGAGACACCGTTGGTTGCAGATATCAATGGAGTCTATTTTCGACGGGAAGGATTGGGCAGCAAATATCTAGGTGGCTGTAGCCCCACTGAGGTAAATTAAGTTGCAAAGAGACATAGACAAGATGCCATTAAAGAGGAAAGCCTTTGGGGGGCCCTATGTTGTCATTGAGGTTAGAATTGGGATCCACTGAGGAGATTGATTATAGGAATCAGATCCCAGTTTGCCCTCATATTACAAGCAGTATATAAGCCTTGCCTCTACCTCTCACTTAGGAGGAAGAACCAGACCCAACAAATCTGGAAGTGGACCATGATTTCTTCCAGAACAAAGTATGGCCCCATTTGGTCCAGAGGGTGCCATCTTTTAAGACTCTGGAGGTAACTAACAGAGAATAATTGCTCCTGTTGGGTTTGGGAGTGAAACAGGATGGATGATACTGGAGCATCTTAGTCTCTTTGACCTCTCCCTCTCTTGTTCCCTCCACCTAACAATCGCTAAGGAATCTGTGGGTCCCATCCCATGACCCCTTTAGCAGCTGATCTCTGAGCAAGGCTGTGGGTTGAGCATGGCTGTGGCTTTGCCAAAAACCTCATCATCTTTTGCATCTGCAGGTACAGAGTGCCTGGGCTGGCTATTATGACTATAACACTTTTGACCAGAATGGCGTGGTGGGCCCCCACCCACTAGTTGTCAACATGTACTTTGCTACGGGCTTCAGTGGTCGGGGACTTCAGCATGCACCTGGCATCGGTCGAGCTGTGGCCGAAGTGGTACTGGAGGGCCAGTTCAAGACCATCGACATGAGCCCCTTCCTCTTCACCCGCTTTTACGTAGGAGAGAAGTTACAGGAGTTCAGTATCCTCTGAGCACGAAAACTTCTGTGGGCCTCGCCAGCCCAGGCGTTGTCCTTGCCTCACACTGGCTGTGGTCACTGCCTGAGTCTCCCCAGGACGGTGACACGGCTCCATCCCTTCCCTCACCATCCTCTAAGCCGGGCCACTCTGCCCCAGTGTCTCTGGACAGAGAATGCGCACAGGCACAGAGACCCAGGCCAATGGAGAGTGATGAATGGGACCCCAGGACCGACTGTAGCCCAAGCTGATGCCACCATCCAAAACACTTCGGCTGGCATCCTGGGTCTGGGGCCCAGGACTGGCCTCCTTCCTGGTACAGGAAATGGGTCTCTGACCCTCTGGCCAGAACCCATGCACACAGCATTCTAGGACTGCCTGGACCAAATTTATCGACTCATCTGTTAACCTTGTCTCCAATCAGTATATGTGATTAACCCTTTCCCTCTGCTCTTGTATTCTTTCTGCTTCTCTTCTCAAGGTAGAAGCTTTTGAAGTATTGCCATTAAAAAGGCAGCCTCGTCCTCATGGGAGTGTTTCTTAGATCCCCTGTAGGAGGCATTTTGTTTTCAAGCTAGTATCCCCTGTTCCTGAGTTCTACAGGAACAAATGGTTCTAGAGGGGAGAAATGGGATCATTCATCTAGTCAACTTATAAAGCGCAGCTTCTGGCTCCCAACATTCAGTCTATAGCAGGATTCAAAGTGGCATTCTGACTGGATCATGGAGGGAAAGAAGAGGAGCCAGGGTCTGAAGAGTCACGCTAAGAAGGGTGGCTTTTGTCTCAGCAGAAGCCCAGCAGAAGAGTTTTAAGTAGGGAAGAAACATGATCAAATTTTCCTTTCAAAAATCTCCCTCGGGCTGCCGGGCGGTAGTGGCACACACCTTTAATCCCAGCACTCGGGAGGCAGAGGCAGGTGGATCTCTGTGAGTTCAAGGCCCACCTGGGCTGCAGAGTGAGTTCCAGGAAAGGCACAAAGCTACACAGAGAAACTTGGTCTCCAGAGAGAAAAAAAAAATCGCCCTCTGGCTAAGGGTGGTGGTGGCACATGCCTGTGATCCCAGCATCCAGGAGGCAGAGACAGGAGGATCTCTGTGAGTCTGAGGACAGCCAGAGCTACACAGAGAAACCCTGTCTACAAAACAAAACAAAACGCCCTCTGGCTAAGGGTGCAGCCTGGTGATAGAGTAATTAGCATGTGGATGGCTCTGGGTTTGATCCTCAGAACCAATGCAAAAAGGGATCTGGGGGGAAGTCACTGTGGGTCCCTAGTAGAGAACTAGTTCAGATAGCAAGGCCGGAAACAGGTTCTAGATGAAGGCTGTTGCAGTCCGTATAGCAGATAACAGTCATGATGGGAAACAGAGCAATGTAGTGACATTGACAACATGAAATGGAGTCAACATTTCCCAAGTTTCTGGCTAAACAGCCAAATGGGTACCATGTTTCTTACAGAAATGACACAGGGAAGAACAGCAAAATGAGTAACCTGGTGTGGGATATGCCGAAAGGAAAGTGCCTGTGAGAAGTGTAATGAGTGACTGGACTAATCGGGGTGGGCAGTCTGGGTTGTAGACAGGTGATAACCAGCATCATCAAAGGAGAGTGGGGAGTTTGGGACAAACACACAAAAGCTGGAGGGACCAACTGGCATTTAGAGAAAACTGGATGAATACTGAAGTGACCTGTGAGGCAGGAGAAAATCCAGGAGTGTAGAATCATGAAAACCAAGAAGTAGGCACCAGAATGAAATGCCACATGCCAGCTGGGCTCAGCACCTACCACGTCAGTGGTGACCAGGGAATGCAGTTAAGCGGCAGATGGTTGCAGAAGAGTGAACTTGAGTAGAGCTTCCTGGGAAAATGGCTCCATCCTAAATCCTCTGGAGAGAATGAAAAGTAGAGGTAGACATCACACAGGGACAGACAGGAGAGACGGGCCTGCTGGAAGTGTAAAGTGTGTGGCTTGGGGAGAGCCAGGCCTGAGGCAGTAAGCAAAAGGAAAGCCATCAACAGGCAGTGCTGAAGTATTAGAAGGAGCTTGTCAGGAACCTAGTGGGCAGGCTTTAGCCACCAATGGGACCAGTCGGGCCAGAGAACTGGTTAGCCCTAGATGGTAGATCTTTGGGCCCCATGGTGATTTTGGTACAGCCATCACAGTCTAAGGGTCCAAAGAAATAGGTGCTATAATCATGAATGCCTAAGGAATCCTCTGCTCCTGCAGGACTTGATTTGATCCCATGGGAAAGCCTTTATGGGCATGGGATTACATCTGTCTTCCCCTGCAAACCGAGAGAAGCCAGGCCAAGCCCTCATCTTCGCCCCCAGACCCAACCATCCCAGAGCTTGTCCTGTACTCTGAGTGCCCATCCAAGCATTTCTGCTGGACCCCAAAGGTCCTTCCCTGGCCCCAGGGAGTCTATACTGCAATGAGAGGCAGGGCCAAGGCAAAGGGATTTCTGGGGAGGGCAGAATTCAAAAGGCTTTCCATGGGCTCCAAATGCTGTTCGGGCCCGACAACTTAATTTCAATCCCAAGAACCCAAGTAAAAAAGCATGGTATGGTTACATATGTCAGTAATCTCAGGAGTCAATCTGTCAAGAAGGGAAGTGGAGACAAGAAGTGCCTGGGAGCTAAAGAGCCAGCCAGCTGTAAGTATATAGCATGGTGGAAACGAGAGAGCCTGCCTCAACAAGGTGGCAGAGAACCAACTCCCAAAAGCTGTGCTCTCACCTATACGTATGCAATAGTAATAATGTTTAAGATTTTTATTTTGTCTGTGCGTTTATGCTGTGGGGGCAGAGGAGTGGAGGCCAGAAGAGGGAGTTGGAAAGCTGGAGTTACAGGTAATTGTGAGCCACATAATAAGGATGCTGGGACTCAACTCAGGTCCTCTGGAAGAGCAGAAGATGCTCTTAACCACTCTTCAGCCTCAATTTATTAAAAGGCTTTCCTGGCCAGGCAGAGTGGCCCAAGACTGTAATCCCAGAACTTGGGGGTGGAAGCAGAAGATCAGAAAAGTTCAAGGTCCTTTACATTACAGAGCAAATTGGAGGTTAGCCTAGGCTATTGGAGACCCTCTCTTCAAAAACAAACAAACGAGGAGGAAGAAAGGCTTTCCTAACATGACACAGAAATGAGCCTGGCTAGAAGCACTCTTTTTTTTTTTACAAGCATGGCTGGGCAGGGATGGAAGGAAGAGTAGAGATGTCCTCACCAAGGAGCAAAAGCATTCACCACGTGTGGGCAACTGCTGGGACCCACAGACGACGATGACACAGGACAGCTCTTTCCATAAAGAGAAGAAGAGATGGTCTATTCTTGAGCCATATTTGAGTGACCATGGCCCAGAAACACAGATTTAGGTTACCCCAAATTATATATTCCAATGTGGAAGTCGCTTCACACAGTTTTTGTTGGTTTGTTTTGAGACAGTGTTTCTTTGTGTAGTTTTGGTGCCTGTCCTGGATCTCGCTCTGTAGACCAACTGGCCTCGAACTCACAGAGATCCACCTGGCTCTACCTCGGAACTGCAGTTGAATGCCCATCCGGGAATCCCTGCTTTGAGGGCAAACACTTTTGGCAAGACTGATTCCAGCCTGTGGGCGTCAACATTAAAGGGACCCCCCTCCCGAGGGCTGGCCTGAATCATTTGTACCACTTAACCTACCTTGAGAGACCTTTGGTAAAAATTGCTGGAGGAGTTTTCTCCCCGTTCCCTTGCCTTCAGACGGGACAAACGGGCTCAGGGCTTCACAGTGAGGAGCTTTGGCCTAAGCGTGGAGGCGGCCGGGCGAGCGGGCGGCCGGGCGAGCGCCCCCTAGGGTCGCGCAGGAGAGCGGGCGGGCGGGCGCGGGCAGGAGGGCGGCTGGTGCGGGCAGGAGGGCGGCGACCTAGGAGCTTCCGGAAGCCGGGGAGCGGGCACTTCCCGGGCGAGCCTGCAGCCCGCAGCGCGGGGTCGCGCAGGTAAGCGGGCGGCGGGGCGGTGGGCGGCCGGGCCCCGGGGGTCGGGCCCTTATCCCGGGACACCGCTTCCCTGCCCCGCCCCTTCCAACCCGCGGTCCAGCACTCCCGGGAAAGCCGCCACCTTCCTGTGGCACCCGAGCTGGCGCGGGGCTGTTAGTATGGCAAGGGCTTCAGCAGCCTGGCCCCGTCAGGTGGCTCTCTCCGGCTCCTGGCAATCTCTGCTCTGGTCCCAACCTGGCCCCTGCTCTTGGGTTTGACTCTGTGACACTGTTGTGTAAGAATGTCACCTTATTTAGGGTTAAGAACCTACCGGGCGTTGCTACCACGGTCACTTAATGGGCGTCTACCAGGGACGACTACCGTGCCAAGAACCAAAGGGACACGGGGAGTAGGAACAGTGCGGTCCTTAGGTCCACTGGGTAAGGTAATCTAGACACCCGAGAAGTGCCAACTAGAGAGGGAAGTAGGGAGTACTCCAGCTGACAGACCTACTCGGGAATGACTCAGAGGAAACCTTGTTTGCTTTGTTTTCAGACTGTAAGAAACAATACATAACAAACACATGGAAAAGTGCACAGATCCTGAGTCCTGCCAAACCGCTTTTCACAGGCTTGCTTGTGTAACCTGCATCCAGAACAGTAAGTCTATGTATGCTCATTGATGTATAATACTCTGCAAAAAGATGGACTGTGTATTGTTTATCCGTTTTACTGATGGACATGCTTGTTTTCATCTTTGGCCTATTCTGAGTAGTGTGCCTTTTGTGTGTTTGCTCGGTTCGATTATATAGTGTGCAGCAGCTTTCCAAAATAGTTGTGCTTGGGGCTAGAGCAAAGGCTCAGTGATTAAGAGCACTAGGTGCTCTTCCAGAGAACCCTGGTTCGATCTTCAGCACCTTCATGGTGGCTCTCAAACATCTGTAACTCCAGTTCCAGATGATCCGATACCTTCTTCTGGCCTCTGCCGGCTCCTGCCATGAAAGGGGTACATAGACATACACACAGGCAAAACATCTAGACACATTAACATTTTTTTTAAGTTAAAAAAAAAAAAGTTGTGCTTCCTGGGTACCACCTCAGCACTCAGTGGTGGAGAGGAGAGGAGGTAAGTTGAAGGCCAGCCCGGGTTAGCCCCACACTCCCAGCAGCGGGGTGTGTGCTCCCTCTCTTCTGACTTTATTAGCCAGGGTCCAGCCTGTAGCTGTTCTGCTGACTGCACAGCTTTGATGCCCTGAGGTTTCAATTTGCATTTCTGTGAGGACTGGTAAGCCGAGCATCTTTCTGTCTGCTGGTCATTTGAATATCCTTTCTGTAAAATGACTGTTCAAGTCTTCTCCCCATTTGTGTCTCTTAGCAGTTTATGTGAGTTCTTGAAATATTTGGGATTTAAGGCATTTGTTAGATACGTATTTTTAAACATTTCTCTGTCTCAGTAGATTGCCCTCCTCACTTTCCTAACAATATCTTTGGGGGCAAAAGTCTTCACGTTAATGTTTTCCAATTTATCATTTTCCCCTTATACAGACTGTATTACATTTGAATTTTTTTTAAACAAAATTTTTTTTATTAAGATATTTTCTATTGATTTTACATACCAACCACAGATTCCCCTGTCCTCCCTCCTCCCATCCCCCAGTCCTCCCCCACAATCCATCCCTCATTCCCACCTCCTCCAAGGCAAGGTCTCCCCTGGGGTGTCAGCCAGCCAGGCACACTCAGTTGAGGCAGGTCCAAGCCCCTCCTTCCTGCAGCTGGCTTGGTTTTTTTTTTTTTTTAATGCCAAATGCCGTTTATGGAGGGAGGAGGTCTTAAATAATACAGGCTTACAGCACAGTGGGAGAACCCGGGAGGGCAGAAGTTCGCTACCGATGTTTTACAGTCTTGCATCTAAGCTGTTAACACCCATTATGCAGGATACACAGACAAGGATCTTCCCTTAAGCCTTCAGGAGGGTGGAACCCAGCAGGGAATTAGCATAGGGAGGATATCAAGGTCAAGGTCAGCAAGCAAGGCAACAGTTACCCAAGGGGGGGGGGGCAGGGCCCTACAGGTCCCCCTTTTAATGAAAAATGAGCTTCTGACTTAGGTTGCGGGAGAGTCAGCAGGTCACCTTACCCATCATGGAGACACCTGCCCAGGCCACACAGGCACTCTGTCTTAGGTTGGTGAGCGCCCCCCAGGCATTACCCGTCTCTGAATACTCATTATCATATAGGCTCAATCGTGTGTGAGCTGCAGGGTTAACTGCTGCCAAAGATCTCAAAGTGGCACTGGGCTTGCAATCTGTGCAACACAGAAAAGACCAACAGAAGTCCTAACCCACCCATAGCAAGTAGGCTAAAGGCAACTGAGCCTTCATGTTAATGTTTTCCAATTTATCATTTTTCCCTTATACAGACTGTATCACATTTGAATTTTTTTAAGCCAGACATAATGGTTCTCACCTGTACTTTCAGCACTCAGGAGGATTGCTGTGAATTTGAGACCAACCTGGCCTACATTCTGAGTTCTAGTCCACCCTCTGCAGAGTGAGACCATGTCTCAAATTTTTTTTTTCTTTGTCTACTCCAAAGTCAGAAATCATGTTATGTTTTCCTATAAGATCTTTATTGTCTTGCTAGTCACAGCTATCTCTAATACCCATTTAAAATTTTAGCCCGGCAGTGGTGGCACCCGCCTTTAATCCCAGCACTCGGGAGGCAGAGGCAGGCGGATCTCTGTGAGTTCGAGGCCAGCCTGGGCTACCAAGTGAGTTCCAGGAAAGGCGCAAAGCTACACAGAGAAACCCTGTCTCAAAAAAAAAATAGTTTGTATGTCTTGAGATGTAGATTGAGATTAATATCCCCACAGTACTATCTAAGTAGACCTAACACCATGGATTGCAAAGAGCGCCTTTCTAGGGCTGGTGGTGTAGCTCGGTTTGTAGAATTCTTCCCTGGCATGCACAAAGCCTTGGGTTGGATCCCCAGCGTGGCATAAAACTGGGCTTGGTAGCCCCTGCCAATAATCCCAGCACTTCAGAAGTGGAGGCCAGAGGCTCAGAAGCTCAATGTCATCCATCCTCAGCTACATAACAAGTTGAAGCCGGCCTGGGGGTCAGACAAACCTCATCTCCAAATAAGGAGGAAGAGGAGAGAAGGCCATCATCTTTTTCTACGGAACCTCAGTGTCACCATGGTGGTAAGGTAGGAAACTGCTGAGATGCAGGTCTGTTTAGTGACACTCTGGTTTTATATATATTTATATTTTTCCCTTCCCCGTCAGTCATTCTGCCTTAGCTGCTGTTGCTTTACAGGAAATCCTTACAACTCTGGTAGTACACAAGTCAGCAGTTGTCTTTAAAATCTTAGGTACTTTTCACAACCTTTACCCACAAAGTCTTTTTAAACGTGTATTAAAAGTACTCATTTGGAGCCGGGCGGTGGTGGCGCACGCCTTTAATCCCAGCACTCGGGAGGCAGAGACAGGCGGATCTCCGTGAGTTCGAGGCCAGCCTGGGCTACCAAGTGAGTTCCAGGAAAGGCGCAAAGCTACACAGAGAAACCCTGTCTCGAAAAACAAAAAACAAAAAACAAAAACAAAAAAAAAAAGTACTCATTTGGGGATTTGAGATGTAGCTTAGTGGTAGAGTGCTTAGCATGTGCTGGATTCCATATCTCCAGCACTACTTAAAAAGGGGGGGGGGGACCATTTTTCAGCTCAAGGGGCATCTAATGTCTGAAGACATGTTTTGTTTGTTTGTTCGTTTTGTTTTGTTTTTAGAAACAGGTTTCTCTGTGTAGCCCAGGCTGTCCTGGAACTCGCTTTGTCGACCAGACTGGCCTTGAACTCAGAGATCTGCCTGCCTCTGCCTCCTAAGTGCTGGGATCAAGGGTGTGCACCACCACCTCCTAGCTGGTTTGGTGTTTTAAGACAGGGTTTCCATTCTGCGGTCCTGACTGGTCTGGAACTCACTATGTAGACCACACTGGCCTTAACACACAAACACACACAGAGATGTTCCTGCCTCTGTCTCCTGAATGCTGCTGACACAATCTATGTTGAGTGCCTGCATATTTACACAAAATCCACAGCAAAATAAAAACAAGACAAACACACCATTTAGTTATACATCTATCTATACATGTGTGTATATGTATATATAACATACATATTTGCAGAACAAAGGCAGTATTTTTGAACTCAGAAACTGAAGCATACCAAGGGTCAGTTTGAAAAATCTGGCAATATTAAGTATGCTGTGACTCCTGTTTGGCTGGTAGGGTATGTTTCTATATGACTAAATATAGCTAAGCGTTTATATTTTCCTGCCTTTGAGGAAATCACAATCCTCCTTCCTTAGTCTTCCAAATGCTGAGATTACAGGCATGTGTCACAGTACTCAGAAAAACCTTTAAATTTATAACTAAGTTAAAAGTAGTGGGTGCTTTTATTCATGTGGACACATACTTTTTGACATTTTTATTCTTCAGAACTTATAAATTGTAGTATGGAAAATAGTTTGGAGTTTATCTCACAATCATGAAATTTGATGGGCACTTTTAATTTATTCACTGCCAGACAGGAAAGGAGGCGCATGCATGTAATACCAGCACATGGGATGTGAAGGCAGGAAGATCTGGAGTTCAAAGTCACTCCAGGCTACAGAGTGATTTGGAGGCCAACCTGTACTACCTTAACTCCTCCCACAAAATAAAAATAAAGAAGTAAATAATTTCACTGGTTATAAATATCAGCAATTTGTTTGCTTTTAAAATTAGAAAATATGACGCACGCCTTTAATCCCAGCACTTGGGAGGCAGAGCCGGGTGGATCTCTGTGAGTTCGAGGCCAGCCTGGTCTACAGAGTGAGATCCAGGAAAGGTGCAAAGCTACAAAGAGAAACCTTGTCTCGAAAAACCAAAAATAAATAAATAAATAAAAATTAGAAAATGTATTAGTAGTGGGGGGTTGGGGGTGTGTGCACATGCCACAGTGTGTATGGAGACCAGAGGACAACTTTGTGGAGTCGGTTCTCTTATGTGGAGTCCAAGGATAGAACTCGGGTCACCAGGTTTGTGCAGAAAGCTTTATCACCTGAGCCATCTTGCTGACCCCCCCACACACACTTAGGATCTCAGTATATATCCAGACTTGCCTCAAAATCTCTACGTAGCCCAGGCTAGCCTCAAACTCATGATCTCCCTGCCTCAGCTTTCCTAGTGCTGGGATCATAAGCATACACCACTGTTGTCAGCTTTCAGGTTTTTTGTTTTTGTTGTTTTTTGCACTTGGGATTGACCCTAGAGCTTCATGCATGCCAGGGAAGCACTGTATCACTCACTGAGTTACATTTCCAGCCTTTCACTGCTCATATAAATAAGACCTGATGTGGTGTCACACACCAGTAGCTCTAGCACCTAGGAAGCTGAGGCAGGATCAAAATTTTGTTTTTATGGTTTTTAAAGTTTATTTTTTATTTTGTATGCATTGGGTGTTTTACCTGCATATATGTCTGTGTACCACATATGTACTGGAAGAGTCTAGAGGAGCGTCTTGGATCCCCTAGAGCTGGAGTTATAGATGGTTGTGAGCTACTATGTGGGTGCTGGAAATCAAACCAGGGTTTTCTGGAAAAGCAGCCAGTGCTGTTAACCCTGGAGCTATCTCTCTAGTTCCATGATTGCAAATTTAAAACCAGCATAGACTACATAGCAAGAGTCTGTCTTAAATATTTATGTGTGTACATACATATATATGTATATATATAAGTATATATGTGTATTTTGTGTGTTTATATATGCATATTATATATACATATACACATAAAAATCACATCAAGTATATATATGTGTGTATATATATGTGTGTGTATATATATATATATATATATAGAGAGAGAGAGAGAGAGAGAGAGTTTACCATCTAGGCTAATGCTTCCATGTATCAGAATTTTCTAGAAAAACTCATAAAACTTAGGCTTTCTAAACCACCCAATAAGAATCTCCAGGAGTGTCTTTGTATTTTGCTTTGCTTTTCCCAGGGGGATTGTTTCGTGTGTGTAAATAATAATAAATAATATGTTTTGTTTTGTTGAGGAGGAGTTTTAATTTCTAGCCCAAGCTAGCCTGAGATTCACTATGTAGCCCAGGTTGACTTGAACTAGAAATGATCCTCCTGCCTCAACTTCCTAAATCCCTAATAGGATTATGGGCATGTGCCACCATGCCCATTTCTCATGCTGGTTCTTTTTTGAGGGCGTTCCTTGCTAATTTTCTATTAAATCTATGTCATTCTCTATAAAGTGAGTCTTTGAGGTACATGTCATTCTGCTTTATGCGTGTTTTTAAAAGAAAACGTGACTTCTAATGAGTCCCGGTGAATCAGAGATTAGACAAAGCTGGTGAGTAGACCTTCCAGCTGGAGGGTTGGGTTCACTATCTTATCTGCCTGACGTGTGTGACTTGCTATGTGGTGACTGTCACTCTGCGTCTTAGAAAAGTTAAGTCATGTCTGATTGCGCCCCAGCCTTGGCTGCAAAAGAACTCACAGTGAAAAAGGAAGGTACATGAGGTTTTATTCAGGAAGTGTATGGTTACTGGAACTTATCTGCCATCTTGCACAATTATCCTCACAGATGCTGGTATTTCCCGTGCTTACACTTTTCCATAATGACAGTTAAAGGGCATATCGTACCCCCACCCACCCACCCCTGCTTCCAGTGGGTATGCTATTAAACAGTTGACTTGATGTTCCTCCTGCTCCTTTTCCTTCTTCTCCTGTTCCTCTCCCGCCCTTCCTCCCCTTACCTCCACAATGCTGGCCTCATCTATGCCTGCTGAGCAAGCACTCTACCTCAGTGCTACATCTCCAGCCCTAGTTTTTTTTGTTTGTTTGTTTGTTTTTCTGAAACAATAAAAAAGGCACTTGCCCAAAATCAGGATGTGCTGTGAAAGGGTAAGTTATTTCAAAAAACTTGCTTCCTTCCTTCCTCCTACCCCTCTCTTCACTCTCCTTCCCCTCCTCTTTCCTTTCAGTACTAAGGATCGACGCAGGGCTTGGTATATGTATGCTAAATGCATGGTCTGTCCCTTAGCTACACCTCCAGTCCAGCTTCATAAAACTTTTACATCTCTATGTTCAAGTTGAATATCATATCATGTGATTTTCTTTGTTCCCATATTATTTTTTATGTTATCTTAAACTTCAGAATATTGTTTTAAAAAAAATTAAGTGATTCTCCAGTTTGTATCAAAGGCAAACAATACATTTTCTATTAAAACAGAAATTGAGACAATCTTTAGAGAGTATCAGAGTTGAGTGATCTTATGTGTACTGCCAGAGAGAAAGACATCTTTTTATTTATTATTTTTAAGGTTTATTTTGTTTTAATTTGTGTGCACATGTCTGTGTAAGTGTATGCTACGTATGGGGAGGTGCCCTTGGAGGACAGCTGGCGTGACAGGCAGTTGTGACCCACATGGCAGCTGGGAACCAAACTGGGTTTGTCTTGAAGGAGCAGCAAGCTCTCTTAAGCACGGAGCCATCTCTCCAGCCCCTGGAAGAGGTATCTTGAGTGGTTTCCTGAACGAGTAGAGAGATGGCGGCCCCTGACCAGGAACAGGCTTTCAAAACCTGCCAATGGTCTGAGGCACTGCAGAGACGCCACCTCTCCTAGCTTGTCAGAAACCCAGAGCACATGACGAAGGAAAGGATCCCATCAATACAAACAGTCCACTGAGGGACAGCCCGCTGAGTGTCCTCCTCTGTGGTCTGACTGCTTCTCTCATTCAGCACTCTGACTCCAGAATTCATTCCGCTCCTTTTTGCTCTGTGTTAGTCAGACAAGTACCTTCGAGAGTTACTTACAGGAGGAGTTACTACATAACGCTCCTGGCCTCAGAGCATTGAACTCATTGTAGTGGGAGGGTGTGGTGGAGCAGAACAGTTTGGGTCACGGTAGCTCTGAAGCCAAGAGAATGCAGGAAGGGGACAGGGTAAGATCTAACCCAGGAAGTGGACAGGGCAAGATCTAACCCAGGAAAGGGGCAGGGCAAGATCTAACCGGCAAGGACACACCTCCAGTGACCTGCTTTTCTCAACGTGGCTGCACTTCCACCTGTCCACCCCCCAACCATGTCATCAAATTCTGAATCCATCAAAGGATTGACGCATTCATTACATCAGCGCTCTGTGTTCTCATCATGTCGGGGAGCACCCTCACAAAGCCCCCCCATGGGCTGCCTTCCTAGTCTCTAGGCATTTCTCGTTCTAACCAGGCCAGCAGTTAAGATAGTCGCCACATGGCCTCCGTTGCTGTAGCAGTGTGCATTTCTTGAACTGAGGTACTTGTTCATTAAGGTCCAACACATACTTAAACATTTTTTAAATTTATTTATTTTGTTTTGTTTTTCAAGACAGGTTTTCTCTGTGTAGCTTGCTTTGTAGACCAGGCTGGCCTTGAACTCGGAGATCCACCTGCCTCTGCCTCCCAAGTGCAGGGATTAAAGGCGTGTGCCACCACCACCTGACTTACATTTTTAAAATGTTGAAGCCTCTGACAGTGTGTCTAATTACCAGATTTGCTTCTCTATGAATTCCCAGAGGGAACTTTGTTATGACTTCTACAGATCCAGCAAAAAGCCAGAAAGCAGCCCTGTGGTCATTACTCCAGCTCCTGAACCCAGCTCTCGACCAGTCCTTCAGCTGGAGAATTTCCTCCAGAATGCAGGGCTCCCCTGCAATGGAACAGGCACTGCCCCCACAGAGTCTTCCCCCTAAAACCAAAGCTCAAAGAGCCTCCAGCCTCAGAACCGCTCTGACCTTGTAGTGTGAAGAGAGCACAGCAGTGCATTCCTGGTCCTTCGAGTTTTCATACAAATTCTGAAGCAATTTCATAACCTACCCCCCTAAAATAAATAAAAAAATTAAAATAAACCTTCTGGAATCACAGATAGCACTGAACTAAAGACCAGTTTGGGGAAGATTAACATTGTGATATTGAGTCTTATAAACCAGACACACCCCTCCTGTGCCTAGGGCAGTGGCTCCATGAATAAATGTGCTTGCTGTGCAAACCTGGGGACCCGGGTTCCATCCCCAGAACCTGTGGTGGAAGGAGGAAACCAGCTTCCAAAAGTTGTCGTCTGTCTTCCACAGTGTGCTGTGGAATACCGTGTGCCTGCACATATCACACACACATGCACACGCACACACACTTTAAAAGAATGTAGGACTAAGGGATAAACTCATAAAAGAATTGGGTTTTAAAAGTACTAAGGACTGCCAGGCAGTGCCACCCTTAATCCCAGCACTTGGGAGGCAGAGGCAGGTGGATCTCTGTGAGTTCTAGGCCAGTCTGGTTTACAGATTAAGTTCCAAGGACAGCTAGGGTTACACAGAGAAACCTTGTATCAAAAATAAATAAATAAAATAAAGTAAAAAATAAGTTAAAAAATAAAAAAAGGACTAAGTTCCCTCCCATAGCTAGATTATTTGAGACAAGGCCTCACTCTTTATCTCTAGGTAGCCTGGAACTCACTATGTAGCTAGCCCAAGCTGGCCTGAAATTTGCAGCAGTCCTCCTGTGAGGGCTGGGATTACACGTGTGTACCACCACACCCTCCTGTTCGTTTTCTTTTAAAATAGGATCTCAAAACTGCTGCTGGTGCACATCTGTAATCCCAGCACTCGAGAGGCAGAGGCAGGCGGATCTCTGTGAGTTCGAGGCCAACCTGGTCTACAGAGCAAGATCCAAAGCTATACAGAAAAACCCTGTCTTGAAAAACCCAAACAAACAAACAAACACAAACAAAAGATTAGGGTCTCAATAGATTTCTGAAGCTGATCCACAATGCTTTCTTAACAATTTTTTATACACGAAGTCCTGTTAGTACATTACATAAATTCCTTCATGGTAATGCTGAGTTGCAGTTTCCAGCATCCAGATGGAGACACCAAAGCCTGGAAAGACTGTTGAAGGCCACGGTCAGCATGAGGTGCAAATCCATGAAATCTGTGTGTAGCCGGCAGTCGTCACCATTTTATGACATTGTCTCCCTAGCTGAGGGGTAAGGGCTAGGTGAGTGGGTGGATGGGGTTAGGGGAAGACAGACAGAGGAAATGTAAGACTTGCTTCAAGTACTCCTACTGCTTAGCACTCATCCACCTGTCCAAATGGCCAGTGCTTCTCCCATTTCAGCACGGACACAGGAAGTCCTTCTAAAGAGCTGCCTGTCTTCTCTCTGTTTTCCCAGATCCCAAACGCACTCCTGGCCAAGTGAAGCAGAGAACAGTCACTCTACCAAGTTTGTACCTTGTAAGTCTGGTCACACGTCACAGATCTGGGTCATTTCCCTGGTCCCATGAACCTATGTAGAAACTGCGTCATTAGGGACTAGGAGAAAAGCAGAACTTCCAGGTAGGTAAGCACCACTTTTGTGATTCTCTGTCCCTGGCAGGATGGCTGTTCCATGGCTCTGTCCCCTCCTGCCACTCCCCCGATGCCTGCTCTCCCAGGGTTAGTTTGGAGGCCTGCGCTATGGCTTCCTCATCCTCTGTCCCAGCCTCTCCTGCTCAGTCCAAGAAGCCTCGAGACAAGATAGCTGGTGAGTGGAGCCTGTCTCCTAGTTATGCTCTGGTTCCTGAGAGAATAATCCCCAGTCTGCTGGTGAGGTGAGAAGACTGACTTGTCCCAACTCAGAGGAGAGATGCAGAAAGGCTGGTGTTGGGGACAGAGCTGCCGGTGAGATGCCCCAAAGCGTCGTGGAGAGGGGGGAATAAGGGATACGCAATGGATTCGGCAGGCCTTTGTTTCACATGTTTTCTGGCCTGCTTGGCCTGCAAACCATTGTGCTGAATGCTAAACATGGTGTATCCTGTCATCTGAATCCTTTCCCAGAACTGTTCAAAGAAAGGAAACAAGAACGAAAAAATGAAACAATCCCCAGTACGGCTGTGTTTTAATAATATGGAGTACTTACAATTTATCTTCAGGAACTAAACAAACTCATTTTATAGATGAGGCAATGGAGACCTAGGCCACTTTGCAGAAGGTCATAGAGCAAGCAGTATGGCAGGTCTACAGTCACATCTGGGGCCTGGCACATGGGGCTTCTGAAGTACCAAGCTCTGTGTCACCTGGGAGCTCTAATAGTCCTTGGCCTCTGAACAACAAACAGGACAGATTCCAGTGCCCTGGCCCTTTTTCTTCTTTTATGGTTACTCATTTGTATTAACCCAGGCTGCCTTGAACTTGCCATTGTAGTTGAGGTTGACCCTGAACCTCTGATCCTCTGATTCTATGTCCCAAGTTGTGGGATTACAGGCATATATCACTGTACCCATCTTCCCTGACCCTTTCAATTCTTACCTTATCTAAATTCATCTCCTCTCAGGGCTGCAGCTAGGCCTTGGGCCTGATTAATGCTTATCTGTAGATGTCCACTTACACAGGTAGTTGACTACTCTGGTTGCAGAGCCTTCTGATCAAAGTGGGCTCTGGATAGCAGATACCAAATTTTTCAGAGAGGGTCTCACTATGTAACCCTGGCTGGCCTGGAACTCACTATGTAGACCAGGCTGGCCTTGAACTCTGCCTCCCAGGTGTTGGGATTCAAGGCATGGGCCACCATGCACAGCAAATTTTACTTTATTTTTTTAAAAAAAATCTCACTGTGTTTTTCAGCCTGGCCTTGAACTACCCCTCCTGGGTAGCTAGGCCACAACAAACACTACCTCACCATGGTGACCCCATTAAGGCCGCCTCACTTGGACAGGATTCGGGTTCCCTCGGTATTGGGGAACCTTTAAAGATAGCAGGAACTCTTAGGCAAGACCTGAGGGGTGTGCCCAACAGCAGGGTAGCAGGACAGAGGGTAAAGTGAAGCTGGCAGAGTCCCACCCATTTTCTTTGGGGGAGGGGCTTCAGCTTGCAGGCAGCAAGTCTCAGTCAGCTCTGTGTTTCCTCCCTGTAGACTGGCTCAGGCAGACTCTGTTGAAGAAGCCCAAGAAGATGCCGGTCTCCCGGGAAAGCCACCCCAGTGATGTTTCACAGACAGCCACACAGGACGGTCTCCCATCCCCAAGCTGCAGCTCACCCCCGAGCCGCAGCTCACCTCCTAGCCGCAGCTCACCCCCGAGCCGCAGCTCAGGATTGTCTCCTACCCTGCAACCAACACACATGGACCCCAGCAGCAGCAGTGGCCGCTGGAGCAAAGACTATGATGTCTGCGTATGCCACAGTGAGGAGGACCTGGAGGCCGCCCAGGAGCTGGTCTCCTACTTGGAGAGTAGCAAGGCCAGCCTGCGCTGCTTCCTGCAGCTTCGGGATGCAACTCCAGGTGGCGCCATTGTTTCTGAGCTATGCCAGGCCCTGAGTAGTAGTCACTGCCGCGTGCTACTCATCACCCCAGGCTTCCTTCGGGACCCCTGGTGCAAGTACCAGATGCTGCAGGCCCTGACGGAGGCCCCGGGGGCGGAGGGTTGCACCATCCCCCTGCTATCCGGCCTGACCAGAGCCGCCTACCCGCCGGAACTTCGATTCATGTACTATGTGGACGGCAGAGGCCAGGATGGTGGCTTTTACCAAGTCAAGGAGGCTGTCATACGCTGTAAGATATAGGAGGGCCTGGAGGTGGGGAAGAGTCAGCCAGTGTCTATACAAGGACCTTAGGAGATAGTCTCTGTAGCTCCAGGAATTGAAAGAGCTTCTGGAGAAGACTGGATTTGTAGCCTGGCACCGTCACCCGTTAGCACTTGAGTTACTTGGGCATGTTGCTTAGCCCCTCCGAACCTTGGATTTTTCATTGTTCATTAGGACTCCCTTACTGCAGAATGAGCACCTGTCAGGTGTTCATAATGGGCAGGGCCTAGCACAAACGGAGTCCTCAGTGCACATCAATTAGCAAATGGTGATAGTGATAGTGATAGGTCTGTCTCTGAAACTGGAGCAGAGGTGTGTTCCAGCAGCTGGGCAGACATCGGGGGTGACATCAGCTCAGCACTGCGAAAACGGTAAAAAGGTCAAAAGGAACCAGCTGCGGCCTGTAGTGTATCCCGGGAGGGACATGCTGCAGGGGGCGGGGCGAAAGCATGACAAAACAAGGGGGGAGGACCCGATGGGGAGGAACAGGTGCTGGGTTTGGGGAGAGTGACAAGCCTTGTGATTCTCTTCCGTCCCTTTCAGATCTGGAAACACTAAGTTGACACTGAAGTTGTCACGAGAAAAGCCGGAAATAGCTCACACCAGGTGCTGGATTCCAGTAGCTATGGCAGGAGGCTTCAGGAGCCAGAGCCAGCTGTACTCTGTTCAGGACACGGGATCAGATTGCCACCAGCTTCCATTACTGTGGGCTCCAAAAGAAGATGGGGACCTCCCCCAAGGAGACCAGGAGGAAGATGGGGACTCCCCAAGAAGGGCAGGAGAAAGCCAGGGACTCCCCCAGGAAGGCAACGAGGAAGTCATTGAGTTGCCAAGAGACTGTGATATCAGGAGGGTCAGCAGTATCTTGTCTGCTGCTTCACTGGACAGGAAGCTGACACATAGCTGTCTTCTTCCCCCTAGAATTAGGCACTGGGGTAAACAGGTACCATTCTTCAAGAGGGATGAGCCTGATTGATGAGCTGGAAGTCAATGCTCTTCCCAGTTGCCTAGGGAAGCTGGGAAGAGGTGGCCGGTATCAGGTCCTTCCCACACACTCACACTACTGTAGCTCCTTCCCAGAGATGTCAGCCCACTTCACAAAGCCGGAAGAGAGGCACATCCAGCCTCACACTGGATTTCACTTACTGACAAACGTCATTTGAAATGCAAACCTAGCCGGGCAGTGCTTCTACCCTAGCAGGGTGCAGGGCTCAGCTTCTTCACCTGGACCCTGTGACACATAGGACCTGTCTTTATGTTGAACTGGCAGGAACCAGTGTGTACTCCCAGGAAGGAACAAGGTGTCACCTATATTCTCAATAAGAACAGAAACGTGGTCAACAGCCATTGTCTCCCCTGGTGTGTACCTGGAGCCTCTTCCTTTTACCATGTCCCCTTACTGAAAACAAATTGTTTTTAAATTATGATTTTTTTGGTTACATACAAAATATTCTAAAGGATATGATACCATACTCATGCACCTACCACCTTAATATATAAAATACAATAAGAACTTTGCCAGGCGGTGGTGGCGTGCGCCTTTAATCCCAGCACTCAGGAGGCAGAGGCAGGTGGATCTCTGTGAGTTTGAGGCCAGCCTGGGCTGCAGAGCGAGTTCCAGGAAAGGTACAAAGCTACACAGAGAAACCCTGTCTCGAAAAACCAAAAAAAATAAATAAATAAATAAATAAATAAAATAAAATAAAATAAGAAAACCTTATTCCTAACATGCTTATTTTCTTCGTGTTCTGAATTCCAGGCCCCTCATGTGTCCTAACAAAAATAACCAATATTCTGAATTTTGTCTTGAGCTTTTCTGTATGAAATTTCTGTAGATATATGCATCCCAGCAAAACATTATTTATTTTAATGACTTTATCTTTTATGTGAATTGCATGACGATGCACATTCCCTTTGTGTGACATGTTTGTGAGGTATGTCCACGTCGTTGTGTCACTCATGAGTTTCCTTTTGTTTTGGGTCAGCGTTCTCGGACTGTGGGTCCAACAACCCTTTCACAGGGGTCGCATGTCAGATATTCCGCATGTCACATATTTATGATTCATAACGGTAGCAAAATGACAGTTACGAAGTAGCAATGAAGATAATTTTATGGTTGGGGTTGCCACACCATGAGGAGCTGTATTAAAGGGTCACAGCATTAGGAAGGTGGAGAACCACGGCTCTAAGATCACTTTAAAGGAAATTCCAGGTGCTTTCCCCCTAAACATTGAGTTACAGACCTCTAAATCATGAGGGCTTTTTTTTAAGCACGACAAAGTTACATTTTCACCTTAATGTAAAATGCTGTCTATGAAGCTGTAGTCAGTGCTTTTTGTGTCTTACAAAATCCTCCCTGTGTGGTTATTCCTACCTTCTACATTCAATCTTGAAAAAAAAAAAGTTGGTTATATTTTCTTCCACAGTATTTCTATTCATATTTAGATCTTTACTTCACTTGGGGTTGTTTTTGTTTGTCTCTTGTTTGTTTTCTTTCTGGCTTTTTGAAATGGTCTCTATCCCAAACTGACCACCAACTTGAGATCCCCCTAGCTCAGCCTCCCAAATGTTGGGATTTCAGGCATGATAAGTTACCATGCCTGGCTTGTTCTTAATTTTCAAGTCAGAAATCCAATTCTTTTCTCTCAGTTTCTATCAGTTACTCAGTAATCCATCCTATCCCCACTGATAGCTATTTGTTAGTTTCTGTCTGTCTGTCTTGTCTATGTGGCCCTGGCTGGCTAAGAATTCACTCTGTAGACCAGGCTGGCCTCGAACTCATAGAGATCTGTCTACCTCTGCCTCCCCAGTGCAGTGCTGGGATTAAAGGCGTGCGCCATCAGACGCAGGCTGGTTCTCTAGTCTCCTTCAAGTAGACCCTGTATTAGTGCCAGAGGGTCTTTGAAGAAGCCTTAATGCCCTGTGGGTCAGTTCTTCCTGCTCTTCTTGTTCTTCTAAATCATTCTATCATTTCTTAATTCCTACTTCTCTACCTTGTGTATTCGTACTGTGAGGTGCCCAGGAAAAGTCTATATTTTTATTCGAGTTACACTGAGTTTATGAATTTGACTAGGAAAAGCAGGTACTTTTATGATAAAGCCTTTCTATCCATAAAGGAGAATCTCCACTTATGTCTTTAGATGTATTTCAATAAAGTTGTATAATATTTTTCATATTAATAATCTCATGTTTTATTAGATTTATTCTTTCTCACTTCATTTTCTGCTGCTACTATAAAGAGTGACTTAAAATTATACATACATATGACTATCAATAGCATAGATATAATACGTTAGTTTAACAGTAAGTACCATACTGCATTATTGATTTTAAATGACTATAGATTTTATTTGGTTTCGGTGTACCTCCCGTGCTATTGTGAAGGAATTCATAACAACAGCTATTGGTGAAATTATTAAGGCCACTCCATGTAGTTAAAAGAGAGGTTTATTTAGTGGCGTAACTTACAAATGAAGGGATAGGTAGGTTGCAGGGGCTGGGAAAGATGTAGCGCAGTCCGGCGGTGTTCTCTGGAGAACTCTGCTCGGTCTACCTCCAGCATCCAGGGTCCAGGAACCAAGAGAGGCAGTGCATCCGGATCTCGGGATCTCGGGTCTTCAGGGTCCTCTCTTGGCCCCGCCTTGTAGGCGTGACAGTTACCGAAGCCTCAGTTGGGGTTGGAACTTCCAGATCAAAGCTGGAATGGCTACCCACTACAAGCAACCATTCAGGCATTGATGTCATACTGCTTAAAGGGAATGGGTCAGTCATTTCACCACTAAACTGTGCCTGCTGTGGGTTTTTACAGAGGGGAGGGCAGTATGACATGAGTGCACGTGGCCTTGGCATCCAGAAGGGATCCCTGGGATCCCCTGGAGCTGGACTTACAGGAACTTGCCACATGAGTGATGGGACTGAAGTTGGGTCTTTTGGAAGAGCAGAAAGCACTCTCAATCTCAACCTCCAGGCCAGGTTTCCAGCCCTGCTTTTTGTTTTCCGAGACAAGGTCTTACTCCATAGCTCAAATGAAATAAATGCAACTTATTTTTTTTTAACTTTATGTTTTATTTATTCTAAAGATTCTACAGGCTATTTGACAAAAATTAGGACAATCTGGGCTGTGAAGTTCTTTATTACTAAGCACTACAAAGCAGATTGAACTGGGAGATGGTAGCAGCAGCGCACGCCTTTAATCCCAGCTTTCCAGGAGGCAGAGGCAGGTGGATCTCCATGAGTTTGAGACCAGCCTAGTCTACAAAGCGAGTTCCAGGACAACCATGGGGTTACACAGAGAGACCCTCTAAAAGAAACTTTTAAAAAATTGTACCACCCTTTTGTTGAATAACTATTGCTTTCAAAATCAAGTGGTAGCCAAATCATGTCAGTGGACAAGGACCCTTCCAGTTCCGAGTGTCTACAATTTAAAGCCATGAGGGACAGGTTGAATGAGTGCCTATGGAGTCATCAGTTTCTCCACTTCCTCTTCTTAGGGCAGGCTCAAGTGCTGCAACTGCCCTCCTGGCCCTAACAGAATTGTTCTATATTTGACGGGCACTTAGGTGGGTCTGTCTCCTAAGCAGAAGACTAGAGGACTATTCCAGGGAATCGAAACTGCACAAGAGAAAATTCTCACAGACTTTGATGCTGGTAACGCCAAAGTTGCCCAAGGTGAGGTTTAAAGGGGACTAGCTCTGCTACTGCAATAGTGGCACAAAGCTTGTGGGCGTAACCAACCAATACCTGATTGGATTTAAGTCCCACTCCGTGAGATGGAGTTCAGAGACTTTTTGGACTCAAACACATGGTGATCCTCCTACCTCAACTTCCAAATGCTGGAATTATAGGTTTAATCTGTTATTTCTTACAGATACATTCCCAATTATGGATTTATGAGATTATATTAGTCACTTCCTATTGCTGTGATAAAACACCATGGCCAAAGCAACTTTAGAAGGAAGGGTTTATTTGGGCTTATGGCTACAGAGGGTTCATCACAGCAGGGAAGCTGGCAGCAAACAGGAGGCAGGGAGCAGGATGCTGAAGGCTCACACCTTGAACCACAGGCAGGTAGCAGAGAGCAACTGGGAGTAGGTTGAGGCCTTAAGCTCTCAAAGCCTGCCCTTGGGGACATACTTCCTCAAGCAAGGCCACCCCTCCTAATCCCTCCCAAACAGCTCCATCAACCCGGAGTCGAGTATTCAAATGCCAGAAACTATATTCATTCATATATACATTCCTATATAATTATATATATTTATCATTTAAACTCTCCTATTTGGTGAACCAACCAGGAAATTCTGGGATGTTTCATTTATTTTGGGACCCACAGATAAAACCCTAGAAGAACTGGCAGAAGTCAGCAAGAAAAAAAGAGGGGGGCAAGGTGTGTATTTGTTTGTTTTAGATAGAATCTCACTACCTTGCCCTTAACTGCCCTGAAACTCATGGTGTAGATCAAGCTAGTGTAGCCAGAAGTTTCTCCAGTCCCACCGGCCCCATAGTCCCATACCTGCTTATAAAATAATCACTCAGAGGCTTAATAATAATTACAAACTGTATGGCCTATGGCTTCTTGCTTCTTGCTAGCTAGCTTGTATAACTTAACTCAACCCATTACTATTAATCTATGTATTGCCATGTGTTCCATGACTTTACCTGTGTCCCATTACATGTTGCTCCTCGGACAACGGATTGGCATCTCTGACTCTGTCCTTCTCTCTGTATCTCTGCCTGGATTTCCCACATGGCTGTATGCTTTCTTGCCATAGGTCAAAACAGATTTATTTATTATCTAATGGGAGCCACACATACAGCATACAGAAAGACATCCCACAGCAGGCTAACCTTAGACTTGTGGCTGATCTTCATGCCTCTGCTTCCAGAGTGGTGGGATTACAAGTGTACACCATCATACACAGCTCTGAAAAGTGTAAGAACTCTTACCAAATTTCTAGCTGTAGTACCTCCTTGAGAAGAAGACATCTTGATCTGTTTTCTACACTATAACACAATACCTGAGCCCAGGTCCTTTGTAAAGAAGTTTATTTAGTTTGGTTTTGGAAACTGAAGTCCCAGATCAGGTGGTCATATCTATGCTACCTCTCTGGTGCTAGCCTCTTGACATGGGACATCATAATGACAAGAATACATGGGTATAAGATCTCATGGAAAGACAGACAACTAGAGATTGGGAGGTCAGGCACAGCCTTTTTATAATAATCTTTTCTCATAAGAACTAACTGCAAGAATGAATCTGTAGGAGGGTGTAGTAGAGTTTTTCTTGAGCATGCATGCTCCCCCATGTTTTAACCCCAGACCCACAAAGGAAAAAATACATTAAGTCCTTCCAAGAACAGCGCCAAGGTGACCTTCCAGCCTTCCAGCAGTGTGATGGTTTGGATGGTAATGGCCCCCACAGGCTCATCTATTTTAATACTTGGCCTCCAGTTGGTGGAAAGATTAGGAGGTGTGCCCTTGTTGGAGGAGGTGTGCTCTGGGGTTGGGCTTTGAGGTTTTAAATGATTTTCATCTTTCCCTGTGTCTCTTTCTTTCTTTCATTCTGCCTCATAGGTCTCAAGATATGAGCTCTCAGTTATGGCTCCAGCACCATGTCTGACTTCCTACTGCTGTGCTCCCTGCCACAATGGTCATGAACTTTAACCTCTTGAAACTATAAACCCCAAATAAACTCTTCTGTAAGTTTCCTTGGCTATGCTGTCTTATCACAGGAATAGGAAGTAACTAAGGGAAACAGTGTGCTGGCTAGTTTTATATCTACTTGACACAAGCTGGAGTTACTTTGGAAGAAGGAACTTCAATTGAGAAAATACCCACACCAGATTAGCCTGTAAGCAAGCCTATTGTACATTTTCTTGCTCAATGATTGATGTGAGAGGGCCTAGTCCATTATGGGTGGTGTCAACCCTGGGCTGGTTGTTCTGAGTTCTATAAGAAAGCAGGCTGAGAAAGCTATGAGGAGCAAGCCAGTAAGCAGTACTCCTCCATGGCCTCTGCATCAGCTCCTGTCTTCAGGTTCCTACCCTGCTTGAGTTCCTACCCTGACTTCCCTCAGTGGGTGATGGATTTACCTGGAAGTGTAAGATGAAACAAACCTTTTCCTCTCTAAACTGCTTTTGGTCATGGCGTCTCATCACAGCAATAGAAACCCTAAGACAAGTCAGTTCCACCTTTTGGTGTTTGTATGTTTTCTGTTTTTTTGGTTTTTTGTTTTGTTTTGTATGAGACAGGATCATTCTATGTATCCCAGGCTGACCGTCAACTCATGATTCTCCTGCCTCTGCCTCCCATGTGCTGGAATTACAGGCACATACCACCGTTCCCAGAACTTTGACTCGTTTGAATTTTGTTTGTTTGTTTGTTTGTTTTTTCGAGATAGGGTTTCTCTGTGTAGCTTTGTGCCTTTCCTGGAACTCACTTTGTAGATCAGGCTGGCCTTGAACTCACTGAGATCCGCCTGCCTCTGCCTCCCGAGTGCTGGGATTAAAGGCGTGCACCACCACGGCCCGGCTTTGTTTGAATTATTGATAAACCCCAGCTTGACTTCTAGGAACCCACTGGGCAGCTTATGTTTCTCTGTATTGTCTTACCCAGTGTGCTCCTTCAATTTTCTGTCTAGTGGAGACACACAGAGGTTCTGAGGCCCTAGTGTGCAGGTGGCCAACCAATGGGCTATGACCCTTGGGAATGTGGCCAATAATGTGGGTTACACCCCCTTATTGGATAGCACAGCTCTCTTTTCTTTTTGGCTTGAATGTATATAAATAAAATTTCAAGAGAGATAGCTTGTTGGTTTTGACTAGAAATGAATAAAAACAAAAGTTAAGGAGATGGGTTGGTAGAGCTAATTTTTATCTGCAAGTTTTGAATTTATAGTGTTTCATCCCAGGTATAAAACCATTTTTCTCCAAATAGCTTTTGTACCCATTGAGAGTTGTAAAAGAATGTTCTATCATTATTTTTGCACCCCTGCACACATACAATAAATGAATGAATAAATACCCCAAATACAAATTATTTTAGTGCATGCCTGTACTCATCATATTGGGTTCAGTTTGAAACCAGCCTGTCTCAAAGAACCAAGACACAAATAAAACAAAATCCCCACATTTATCATTGTTCCAGATTTAGAATCATCTCTGAAATAATTTAAGAAACGGCAAGTTTTTTTCTGAGTATATCACTCCATGTTAGTTTAGGAGAAGCAAACTAAAAAAGCTTAATTCACTAGAGGGCACTGTCACAGCTTGCTGTCAAACAGCAGGATACAACAGTGGCCCCATCCAGCTCTTAAAAAGCCCTTCTACTTAGGATTTCTACTCTAGCTGGCTCATGGGTAACACCTAGGATTGTGGTGAGTAAAGAATATCACTTTCTGCCAGGAGCAGGGGCGTCAAGACAGGAATTCACACAAGCTCTACTAATGAAGTTTGATGAGCACTTGACTTGGTTTCTGTCTCTGGAAGTCAGAAGCCTACTCAAGGACTGAGGGTGTATTTCTGTGGCAGAGCACATGCTTAACTGCTCAAGGTCCAATCCCCTTTAAGACATGTGTGCACATACATCTAACAGAAAAGCAGTTTCTGGGAGGGCCATGAACAGAAGACATAGTCCTTGCAGTAGCTCCCTTTTCTGCATGTACTGACTGCTCAAGGTTCAGCCAGTTGTTTACTGTCTGGGACCCCTCACCAACTTAGAGCTACGTGCATGAGTCAAGGACAGAGCCTGGGCCACTGAGAAGCCCCCACAATCAGTATGTGCTAGGCCAGCCAGCTTCCATGGCAGCTCAAGAACAAAGCCTGGGACTTGTCCAGGCCTGCCCCAAAATGGTAACTGTAACCCCCAACTAACACTAGCCAATTAAAAGTTACTAACATGATTGCCACTGGAATAAATCAGTCCTGAGTCTGTTCCTATGTAGTCTATAGACCCCAAGCCCCCCTTGTTTTAAAAACCCTGCCCCATTGCTACTCTGGGTCTCTCCTGCTCTGCTGCTGCATCAAATGGACAGAGTCCAGAGTTAACTTGTAACAATACAAAGACTCTTTGCTTTTGCATCGGATTTGGTCTCTTGGTGGTCTTTGGGGGACTCTGGGTACAACACTGGTATTCAACACATCATGCTCGGCCATTTTCTTTCGTTTTTCTGAGTTGAAAAAAATGTTCAGATTTTTCATAAAAGTAATGTCCTAGAACTGAGTAGGTTTTGTTACTGCCATTGGTCTTGTGGGACATTTTTTTCTGGTCTTCCATACAATTGATAACCTCAGATTGTGGATGCATAAAAGGTGAGGAAGCCTATGGACAAGTGACAACCTGCAAATGATTATACCAGATTCCAGGTCCCCTGATAAGCCCCTCTACTTCTAAAATAGTCATATCCAATTCATGTTCCTATGGAATACTATCCAAAACTCAATCTATTATTAAAACATGGTACACTGTTAGTAACTCAAAAGCAGATTGAAAATTACATCTTGTTAATATTAAAAACTGAAAAAAGTTTGCCACATCCATTACATTGGTCTAAAAAATTAGAAATATTGACAAAAATAACATTCGGCAGACTATCAGTTCTTGACAATATTTGGAGTTGCCAAATTAAAGGGAAGGAAAAATGGGCTAACCAGAACGAATGACCACACAAGACACCTACAAAACCCAGAAACTACAAGTTTTATTACCACTCCTCCAGCTGCAATAAAAGAATAATACAAATCACATCCCAGGGTAGCAGGACAGAATTACAGGCAAACTGGATTTGGAGGGACGAAGCCTTTAGGGTAGAAGGAAGTGATGGAAAGACCCGTACGATCCACCCTGTTAGCTTACTTTTTCTTTTCAACAAAAAAGATATATATATATATATATATATATATATATATATATATATATATATATATATATATATATTTAAAAAAAACTGATGTAAAATTACGAAAGTTGGAGAAAAATGGAAAATGGTCTAAGTACCCACTGTTAAAAATTAACAGCCAAGAAATAAAATGGCTTGCAGATTTATTTTAAAACATTCCTTCCACGCCTACTCGTGAGTAGGGATGTTAATGTAAACCGTCACTATTCCACCCTGTGCGTCCATCATACAGAGCCCAAAGGTGTTTTCAGTTTCCCGCCCTAGGCGCTGGGCAGAGGTGGGCCCTCTTCACTGCCACAAACAGGTAGCCAGCCTCTCTAGGACCTTGCCGCCTTCCTTTCCCTTCCCCACTGCCTGCCCACAGGACCAGGAGCTCAGTGACTCGAACTATATTTGCCCCTCCACAACAGTCATTAGTAAACTCTCCACCCAAGCAGGTGCAAAACCTGCAGAAGCCCAGACGCGAAGCACGCCGGGAAATGGAGTAGCGGCCTTGCCTGCCCGGAGCATGCCGGGAGTTGAAGTCCGGCCCCCTCACAGGCTGTGAGGGAGCGCAAGGGGCGTGGGCAGCGGCTCAGACGTGCAGGCGGGTACGGCTCTTCCCGGGCAGCATGGCGGATACGGCCCCTCAACTCAAAAGAAAGCGCGAACCCGAGGCAGAGGAGGCGGAGACCCCCAGCAGAGACGAGAAGGAAGCAGGCGTTGGCAATGGTGCCTCCGCCCCCGTCCGCTTGCCGTTCTCCGGCTTTAGAGTACAAAAAGTGCTGAGGGAGTCTGCGCGGGACAAAATCATTTTCCTGCACGGGAAGGTACCATTAAGCACCCGGGGGGCGGGGGGGACGCGGGAAAGAGGGAACCAATCTTCGCGTGAGAGCGGAGGGGTTTTTTTTCCACTCCCGGGACTGCCAATCACGTTAGTCGGGGAAGGTGGAGTTACCACCACTGCGCTGCATGGAGCGACGAGGTTGCCCGCGGAAGTCAAGGAATGCACACATCTAGGTCTGATTGCCCCCATTTCTCCTTCCCTACAAATATCCGCCAGTTTTAAAAGCACGTGTTAAATTCCCCACGCCATTCGTCATCATTCATTGTGCGTATAAAGGCGGCAGGACCTCGGCAAATATGTGCTCTGGGCCCTGTCCCTGAAAATGACGAGAAAACTAGGAGATGTGGTCCCTGCTTCCCAGGACTTGAGCCTACGTTGTTAACCCATTCCACACGCTGTGCGCTCCCATGTGTGACAGGGACCCAGGCGTGTGCTTGGGATGTGGAGATGATAAGAGAGTTCCTGGACTGCAAAGCGTGTCTGTGGAGGCAGATAGGCTGCTGGCTCTAACACTGTGTGCTTCGCTGTCTAGCAGCAGAGTTGGAGACCATCCCAAACTACTGAGGCGGCCTAGGCAAGGCAGATGTCAAGGTTTCTCTAGAATGGACTGCCTACAACTTTTGCACTCGTGACTTCATTCTGCAGAGAAAGTTTTACACAACCCTGGGTATACAGGCGTATAAAATAGATATTCAAATCAAACATTTACTGATAATGACTCATAAGGAAATTCTTTTGTTTTGTTTTTTTCAAGACAGCATCTCTGTGTAGCCCTGGTTGCCCTGGGACTCACTGTAGACCAGGTTGGCCTTGAACTCAGATCCACCTGCCTTTGCCTCCCAAGCATTGGAATTAAAGGCGTGTGCCACCACCGCCCAGCCTGGAAATTAATTTTTAAACAATTCTTTGGTGTCTATATAATTTTTATTAAAAGATGTAAACAAATTTGCATGCTAATGAGATGGATTGCTTGCTTATAAAGAATGAGATCTTGGCTGAATATTTACTACTGCTGAATATAGAGCATCTTATTAATTTGTGTGTGTGTGTGTGTGTGTGTGTGTGTTTGAATGTGTGTTCATGTGGAGACCAGAAGTCAACCTCAGGTATTGTTTCTGTCTTGTTTTTTTTTTTTTTGCTTACTTGTGTTGGATTAGGTTTCTCACTGCTGAAGAGCTCACTAATTAGGTTGGGCTGGCTAGCCAGGAGGTCCCAGGGGTCCACTTATCTTTACCTTCCCAGTTTAGGATTTTAAATAGCACAGTCACACCCAGCTTTTTTACATGGGTTCTGGGAATGGAACTCAGGTCTTCATGCTTACATGGAATGCGCTTTACCAAGAAAACAGTTTCCTAGCCCCAAGTGCTGGGATTTCAGAGGCTTTGGAGGCTTCTGCTTGTGGTGTACAGCTTTTCTAGTGGTGGCGTCCGGGGACCCACTGCTGATATCTCTGCCGGCAGGTGAATGAGGACTCTGGGGACACCCATGGAGAAGATGCTGTTGTGATCCTGGAGAAGACGCCGTTTCAGGTAGAACACGTGGCGCAACTCCTAACAGGCAGTCCTGAGCTCAAGTTGCAATTCTCCAATGATATCTACAGCACCTATAACCTGTTTCCTCCAAGGCATCTGAGTGGTGAGCACATAGTGGTTGTATGTGGGGAGAACAGGGTGGTGGGAAACTAAGGGCTCTTTCAAATTTGAAAATTCTAATACAGTAGTTCTAATTGAGAGAGGGAGGGCTTTTCCCTCCAGAGAACCTGGCAATCTCTGAAAACAGTCTTGGTTGTTGGAACTGGATGTGTATGTGCTACTGGCATCTAGTACATGGAGGATAGGCATGCTGTGAGACATCCCACAATTCTTAGGATGGGCTGCCCCAACAAAGAACTACCATGACCACTAAGGTTGATACATACTTCATGGTGCAGTATAACTCAGAGAGACCTGCCTGCTTCTACCTCCCAAGTGCTGGGATTAAAGGTGTGCATCACTATGGCCCAGCAATAAATTCATCTATTAATGAACTTAACTGATAATTCCCAACACTTTCAAAACCCTTACTGTTGTACTAACTCGGGATGTATCATTTTGATACATTTAATCCATGGAACAACACTATTGTGAGAAGACTTTATAGGCGAGGAAAAGCTAAGTAACCAATTCAAAATCACAGAGCAGTAGGTGGCAGGAAAATGAAGTATTTCAGTAGACTGAGATCTCAGCACACTTATACCATGTACTGTTGCAGCGTGCTGCAGACTGCACAGGTCGTCACTTTCCTGAAGAACCCCACTTCCTGGTAAGAGAGGCAAATGTATGATCAAGCAGGATGAACTTGGGTAGGGCAGAAACATATGGGTAACAGAAATTTGTTTTGATTAAAAACATTCGTGTGTGTATGGGTGTACGGGTGTTGGTGTGTATGTCTGTACACCATGTGTATGCAGTGCCCACAGAGGCCAGAGTGTTGGGTCCCCGGGACTGGAGTTACAGAGACTTAAGAGCCTCCATATGGGTGCTAGGAATCAAACCCAAGTCTTCTGGAAAAGAGCAGCCAGTGAATGCTTAAACAGAGCCAGCTCTGAAAGCATTTTTTAATTCACTAAAAAGGCAAACATTCCATGCCCCAATCAAGACATGATGTGTCAAGATTTTTGTAGGCAACACATGAGGGAAAAGGGTTGACCTTAACGGTTCCCAACCAGGAAATTCTAGACTGTGTTTTGCACACATGGTGATTTGGTCACATCCTCGTGTATTCTCATTTGACCCTTGGCATTTAAGAACAGTTTGGCTTGCCAGATATCCTGTCCCAGTGTCTCTTTCGTAGTATTTCCCACAGCTCTATAAATGAAGACTATTGTTCTTTGAAAATACATGTGATCACTTGATGTGAGACAAGCAAACCTTTCAGAGCAGATCCTGCTCTTCACTCAACGATTGCCAGATTCTTTGCTTTAAGTTGATGGAAATGGGCAGCTGTATTTACTTTCTTAAGCGTTGACCTTTAAGTAAATGTGTTCCTTGACACGGGGTAGCAGAAGCATGACGGATGGCACCATAGCCAGGCGTGGCTCACAGAAGCCACCCGACTATAGACGGTGGGCCATTACTTGACTACCATCCTCTTTTCCTCCTCCTCCAGCCTGTCCACGCCCTTTCCCACTCCTAGCAAGAATTCAGTAGGTTCTGTTGCTGGGATCAACCTGCGGCATCCACAGAGCCGCCTTTTGTTGTTGTTGTTGTTGTTGTTGTTGTTGTTGTTGTTGTTTTCCCTTTCAGTAGTACTTCTGTGACACCGCATGTAAGTGGTAGTGATCACTGCCCTCTGCTTTTCTTCCAAGATGAATACTGATAGTGGCAGTTGGTGAGGGCTCCTCCCCACCCAACCCCACATGTTTCTATAACCCTTTCCTCATGATCACCCCTACCTACCTGGGAGCCTGGGATGGGAGCTCTTCTTTCCCTGCTTTGCTAGCACATGTGCCATGTTTTGTGGCTTGCCTTCCCTACCTAAACGTGGCCTAGAGATTTGGAAGTCACAACAGTTGGCTTCAGGGCCTGATCTGTGTTCCTTCCTTGTTTGACTCTTTGTCCTGTCGCTGGTGACTTCATAAATACTGAGCTGGAAGACTCTTGGTAAAGAACCGAAGTAAATGTTCCACGCTTTGAGGCACGGATGGTCTTGAACTCCTCATTCCTTCTCTTCCTCCACCTCTTTAAAAATTAATGTATCACTTCCAGATGCTGGGTGTTCACTCAGGTAGCGGGTCAAATAGAACCTGCAGGCCATAGTTTCTCAGTCCATTTCCCCGGGTTTTGCCATTTGGAATGTGATCTGTGGAACAGTACTCTAAGCACCGCCTAGGAGCTTTTCATGCACAGAATCCCAGACCCTAATGCAGACTACAGAACTGGAGCCTGTGTGCTAGCTAGATTTTCTTCTACAAGTCATATGCACATTATAATTAGAAAGATAATGGTTTTTGCTCTTTGCTGGGGATGCCTGCTTTTATTTCTGAGTCTTTGGCCTCTTCAAGAACTCCCAGCTGGTATTGAAATAAACATCTACTTGTGGTTTGCATTTGAAATTCTCATAGGTACTGCGTAGGTGAAATTCAAGAATACAGTATGTGATCTATTCAGAAGCAGTCAGCACCTATTTAATAGTAGCTACTGTTACTATTTTAGTGTGCTTGGCCCAGTGCTAAGTACCATTGCTTCAGAGTCCAGTAAGATGCCATCTCTGCCCGTAGGTATGTTTAGGGCAGTGGCAAGAGGGCCACGAATTACTGTGAAGAGATAGACAAATGCTGTGGTTCCTTCTACCTGGATGGAGACTGTAGGTAAGAATCCAGCTTTGGGCATAGGCCGTAGTCCTAACTACTGGAAAGCTGAGGCAGAGGCTCAAAAGTTTAAGGTCTGTGTGGGCCATAGAGCAAGTTCAAGACTAGCCTGGACCACTTAGTGAGACCCTATCTCAAAATAAAAGTGAAAGAACACTGAGGTTATAGCTTAGCAGTAGAGCACTTGCACAAGTGTGGGCGGGCCTGAGGTTTAATCCCCTTTACCACACAAAGAAAGAAAAGGAATCAAGTCATGGGCGGTTGAGGAGAAACTCTTCGTATGGGTCTTTGGCGCTTCTGTATCCCCAGTGTTTGACAGTAGTGAACAGTAGCAGTAGGCATGCAGATGGAGCAGCACAGGTACCCTCTTGGTGAGAATTTAGTGCTCCCATCCTTGTTCAGGCCTCAGGTATCAGACTCTTAGCTCAACAAGTGTTAGAGAGCTTGTGTAAGTCAGGATTCCATAGCATTTGATACCAGCCAGTCTTAGATCTTTTGGCCTAGGGTGTCGGAGAAGGTTTGTTTTAATGAACTGACAGTTTTCTGGAACTCTTCCAGCAATCAGAGTCTGCAGTGTTTCTTCTCTGACCCTTGTAGTCCTTTATCCCCTCTCACCCCCTGCCCCTTCTTGCCCTCTCTCTACTTAAAAAAAAAGAAAATGTTTATTTTTATGTACGTGGGTGGGTGTTTGCTTGCATGCATGTCTGTGCGCCACCTGTGGTCAGTGCTCTTGGAGGCCAGAAGATGGCATCGGATTCCTTGGAACTGGAATTACAGGTGGTTGTAGGGACCAAGTGGGAGCTGGGGACAAACCCCGATCCTCAGGAAGAGCACCGAGTCACCTCTCCAGTCCCCTCCTCTCTACGGCTTGTTTCTCTCAGCCTTCTTTTCTTTGTCTGTCCACTCCTGAACTATCCAGCTGCTGCTTCTACTGTGTGGCAGCCAGCCGCCTTGCTGGTTCTGCAGCGCGGCCTGTGGGCTGGTCTGCCGTTGCCAGTCTGCTCCCTCTGTGGTTGCTGCCATGCTGCTGTGTCTGTTGCTTCTCTCCCTGTGTTGCCAGCTCAGCTGCGTTAACAAAAGTAGGCAAGAAAAGACCACTCATGGGAAGACATTTATTGGGTCTAATTGGGCAGAAGAGTGTCCCTTAGCCTGTCTGCTCATATAGCCGAAGAGGGGATGGTGCCTCAATTATGCAAATGAAGGTTTGTGTTTCCCATGAATCATGGCATTGTCCCTTTTGTACCAGTCACAGCCATCCCTCTGCCAGCCCATCAGGATAAATGCTCCTTTTCTAGCCTGGTTATAGGATATCACAGCCCACTGAGGGTTGTGATGGCAAAAAGCCTGGTGCAAACTCTGAAATGGTTGTGGCTGGGACTGTACCTTCAAGAACTGGCGATTGTCTCTCAGTTTGCTTAAGTGAACTGAATTGCTGCTCCTAGCCAGAGAGGGGATGAAAAAAAAAATCACAGCACACCTCACATGCAAATGAAGATTTGTGTTTGTGCCAATTACAAGTATTCCTTTGGCTGGGCCGCTAGAATAAATGCTCTATCTATGGCCTATGGGTAAATGGTTGCAGAGTCCTCTAGAGTTCAGCAAAGCGTGTGATAGCAAAAAGTCTGTTTTAAACCACTTGAAATAGCCAGCGCTAGCTGAGTGAGGCTGCCCATCAGGAACTCTTAGCTGTGATTCTTGTATAGTTTCTTCACTTCATCTATGTAGCTTTTAAAATGGTCAGTGCTGGCTGGCTGTTCGACTGAGAGCCCTTTTGCCTAAGGCAGCCAGGGCAGCAGGAGTCCAGCAACTCACAGTTATGAAATAAGGTTGCCCCATTAACCAGTGACTTGGCTTATTTACAGAAAAATGAACATCAGAGGTAATGCTTACTATAGAGACGTACCAAAATTATTATTAGCACTGACAGTAGTTTTAACAGATTTCAACAGTACAAAGAGAATTAACAAGTGATCTATCCATAGATTCCTTTTTTCTGTGGGACAGGCATTCCATAGCCACAAGGTGGCAGCGTTACCAAAGTATTCCACCCACTCTCCAGCTCCTGGCATCCTAGTCAGGGCCTACCTAGAACCTTGTATGGCCCCTGCCTCTCCGTTCTCAGTTTCAGATTTACAGCTCACCATTGCTACCCCATGTCCCTTACAGTGAAGTTCCTGCAACCTTAGTCCTCTGTGCCCAGTACACAGTTGTATCTTTGAAGTTTTTTTGCTGATCTCTGGCTGCCTCTCCAGCCGTCCTTCCCATAATATCACTTGACTAGGAGAAC